AACCTTAAGGTCGAATACCTGAAAAAAGCCCGTCCATAACTGTTCGACTAACTTCTGAAAAATGCATCACAAGTTTATTTGCTTGCACACACATGCACCAGTAAAATATTTGAGATCAATACTTTTCCCCCTCTTAGAAACAGAGTCCAGATATTTTTTTTAAACAAGACTATAAAAGTATTATACAACATGGACGAAACCACAGTTCGGAAGCAGATATCAAAAGAGAATGCCTCACCCTGGATATCATTCTTTGCATGGTAGAAGATTAAAGATTCTTATAATCAACAATATCAGGAAAATGAGAAAGGTGCTAGTTAAGGACTATGACTTATGCAAACAGGTTACTGAAGTCTCCACTCCAAACCACTTCTTGTGGTGCTCCATGTCCCATAAACTATAGAGTACAATTCATAAGTTCCTAAAATTGAGATGAATTAATTGAAGCTTTGTAGCTACTGAACTATGTAAAGTATTAAGTCAAGTGAAAGCTAGAAGACGTTCTACCTCACTCCTCTCTATGTTGTGGCGGTTCTTTGGATGGAAAGGAATAGGAGGATTTCTAATGGGTCTTGTTAACCTTTAGCTGGATTGGGGATTTTCCCATCATTTCCTCCCTCCTTTCTTAAGGGGCTAATCTCTTCTAAGAGGATCTTCGTGATATTACAACTAAATACATGGGTGGCACCAGTTGATGCCTTGTTAATATACTTCTTTTTTACCATTAAAAAGGATAGGGAACCCACTCCACTCACTTCTCCCTCAACAAGAACCCCAAACAATTAAGTGTTTGTTAGAGAAAGGGCAAGTTTTTTGTATCCCCCAAACTGAGGGCATTGTGATGAGAAGGAAGTTGATTTTTTCTTCTTCATTTGTCCTTCCTTATTTACCTCAAATCTATATTGTGCAAGATTCAATAGAAAGGCATGTTCAGTTTTTTACCATTCTCGCTTTCATCCTCTAATAAAACCAGGCAAAGATACTTCCTCTCTAGAAACCAGACGAAACTTCATGCAATCAGGTGATCTGAGAATAAGATCTCAATAGAATAGAAGGGTTTTAAAAGGGATGAATAAATGTGAGGATTTTCCAACCACACCTGCTTGGTACAGTAGTATAAGTCCCCTCCTCAGGGCTCTCTATTATCAGGATCATGCACTCTAAATTATGAATGCACATGTGGGCTAATGAAAGAAATGTATGCACATACCAGCTTAAACGAATCTGACAGTGACTCCACAGAAGTGTATGCCAAATAAAGAAGAGCACTTTTGTAGAACTGGGCAAATTCTTGACAGAATTTATGAAATTGAGATGAAACCCAGTAAAAACTTGCATATACTGAAGGATCAATGTCAGTCATGCTATCAAGGGTGCTTTTTCCATCTTCCAAAAGTTTCTTGCACTCTTTTTGGTCACCTTGCTCAAGCTTAAACAAAGCAATTTGCATCTTAATGTAAAGAATTGGTTCCTCAATGCGCTGCTCTCTAGTATCCTGAAGCTTGTGAATCACCCCATCAAGGTAACCAATAGCAGCTTCTTTCTCGGGGTACTGCCGAGAAACAATAACAGCAAAATGTGCAAGCTTCAGGAGATTGATCTTGGTCTCAAAGTCAGTGATGAAATTATGGTATAGCTGTATTAGAGCATCACCAGCCTGAAATTTAACATGAACAGGAAGGAGAAAGGATTCAGTTAAAAATCACTTAAACAACACAAAAAACTTAATGAATCAGTATATTGTACATCATTACGCATGTAGGCCATATTTCAGAATTAATCAACATAGAGATATTTGCAGAACTATAAGCCAATATGATAGGAAATCCAGGAAGCAATACTAAAGATACATGATTGCATTTGCATCCCCAGCCAACTGCACCAAAAAGCTCATCAACAGGTTATCTACAAATGCATCTGGTAAATCTGGTAGAACCTTATATTGCAGTGTTGCACTTGAAATGCCACTGGGACCTCTAAGTTATCCTTCCAAAGCATACAAATTCAAAGTGGTTCCCAGAACATGACTTGTCGAATCCCAACTTAGGAATCATAATATTGTTATTAAATATATATATAACATTGCAATCACCAACATTATCCATGTCAATGATATCATAAGAACTAATATAAATCCCAGTAAAAGCATTGCAAAAGTTGCTTCTGACTGTTCCTACAATTCATGATGATAACGACTCTAAAGGTCTGTTTGGAAAAGGACCCAAGATGATAAGTGTTATAAAATCAAAAATCTTAAGAATTTCTGGAGAACAATTTGGCGCTCTGAAGGGAAACAAAGGTGAAATCTTCCTCCTTGTATTCCCTTACCATTCTATTAGTAAAAATTACTAAACGGGATTAAATTGTCAACCTCCTATATTCTTCATCTCTTTCTATCCGTTCACCCTCTCCCAAACCATAATGTAAGGTCCAAGAGTTATTAAGAATCATTACAACCATCTAGTATCTGACTGGAAGATCGAAAGTTAGGATGTAAACGAAGTAGTAGAAACCTCATGGACGCAATGATATTTAATCTTTCTATTATTATTTTATTCTCCTCAAACCTGGAAATTTTCAGGATGCAAACGTAATTTTAACTAAATAGTCCACAAAAAGACCTCCACAACCATAGCTCGAAAACATGACACTTTCTTTAGTTTCCTAATACAATTTTTTAGCTGACTTTTACTTCAAAAAGATTTCACGGATATAAATTTTCTTCTATTTCCAACTCCTCAATCAAAACCCTAATTTACCCCCCACCACCCCACCCCAAAAAAGGAAAACCTGACCATCTCCTCGCTTTTAAGCACTTGAACATCTTGCCAATATAAACCCACTATACCCAAGATCTAAAAACCCTAACCCCCGGCCAAATAATAAAACACAGAAGCACAGATAAATACCATTCACACGTGGAATAGAGAATTAAGAGAATGAGAGAAAAAGAGAATTGAGAGTGAAATGGACCTGGAAGACGGCAAGAGCAACGAACTGCTCGAGCTTGAGAGTAAGCTGGTGCCAGAGCTTCTTCTGGTACAGATCTGCCATAGAATTGTACCATTCGGCGAGCTCCGGGTGTGCGTTCCGCAGAGTCTCGAGGTATTGCAGAGCGGCCATGCTGATTTTCACTCGATAGAAACAAACAGTTGGCCTCAGTAGAGTTTGGTTTCCTTTTATACCTGTAGAAAATCTGAAACACCTCTTTCTCGCCTCTCTTTATTTTTCTTGAGCTCAAAGAAAAGAATTGGAAATTAGAAAATTCTGAAAATACGCATTGTGGATCAAATCGGGTCGGGGCAAATTCGGCCTTAACACAACAATTTGTTATTTGTTATTTTCGGGTCGGGGCCTGGGGATAGGTGAGTTCTTATTTGAATATTTTAATATTATCAAATGTTCAATTTTAGTTATAATTACTATCGTTAGAACAAATTTATTATTAACATTAAATATAATTTAAGTAATTTAAAAACTACTTAAACATATTTAATTTTTATAAATAAAAATATGTAACTTGAAGACATTAAGTTTATATAAAGACAACATCTTATTGATTTTTTAAATCAAAATTCAGATTTATTAGATTATTTTTTCATAATATTATGATAAATTTTAAAAATTTTTAGTTTCAAATGTTAAATTTTTTAAAATGTTCCCCATTTTGTATTAATCAATTAAAATTTTTAAATATGAAAAATATTTTTTATTATTTAAAATATTGTAATTCAGCCTCATTTTCTACTTTAAAAGAAATTGATACCTCATTAAATTCAAATAACTAGAAAATTAAATTATTAAATAAAAAAGAAAGAATTAAACTATCATTTCACTAAATTTATTAAAGTCAAACAAGTAAGCATTAATTTTAGTCTGGCCCCTTTATTTCATTGATGCTTTCTTATTTAATTCATATGTTTTAGAAAGAATCTTAACAGCCACAAACCCTTAAACCAACCCCACCAAGGAAGAAAAGAAAAGCAAAACACCCAACCACAACTCTACATTATG